AAAAAATAAAAAAACACCGACCTTCAAAGAGGTCTTACCAGAAAATTAACAAGCAAGATAACCGATGACATGATAGAAATTCGTTTTATTTGGTCACCCTCAAATTATGTACTTTGGATACTTCCTGTAGTAAATCTGCGCGTGAACCGAAAAACCACGAGCAAAACCGTACAAGGGAAATTAGTTCGATTAAGAATCTTGCAAATGACATCATGACCTTGCCATGTGTGCGGTTATAAATGTGTATATACAGGTATATTTATTTTCTAGAAATATTATTTCGTTTGATGGTCGATTTCACATTCGTGTTTTATCCTTATTAAATCTAGCTATACATACAGCTATATGACTCCACGCATAGTATGTATTTCACATTATGACGACACTGTTAAATCTATACCTCTTTGGTGTTGATGGGATTTTCCGTAAATAACTTTCTAAACGACCCTGTCAGAGTTTCAATCTTAAAGTTAATACCTATAAATCTACAGATTAATCTCGTGAATCTTCCACTCAAACTATTAAAAGGGTTCCTTTGGGATAATGTCTGTAAATTCTTTTTCCTTTGGGAGACGCAAGATATGAAATGATTTTCAGTGTTACCGATGAGGATATCTACTAAGTATTCCCTCGGGGCTACTTGTTATTTTTCGAATAGATGTCTGAATTCAAGATCCCTTTCTAAGGAAAGGTCAATTTAATTACATTTTTTTTTCATTTTCATTTTGTATTAAAAGAGCTGCCAATTTAATTTCAGTTTGATGTCGTCAGTCGGAAAAGCAGTAATTCATGTGATAGTGACATTTTTACAACGTAAACTTCGCCATAAATCGCAGATTGTATTCTTGCAAATTTCAATTGCTACTTTTTGTAGTCTGGGTCATTTCGATATTTGCGATAAGGGCCTTATGTTTTAGGAGGGGCTCAGTAGCTAATGTTTATTTACACTGATAAAGCTGTTCCTTGCACCATTAATCTTGCATGCTTTGGATTTTCAAAGTCTAAAGAGAAGAAAATTAGGTCGCCAGTAAGGATTAGCTGGGGATTTTGATTTTTTAACGTAAGCAATGGCAGGCTTGATGTTGAGAAGTCTCTACGCTGATTCCACTGATTAGGTCGTCGGGGAAATGAAAGGGCTATATATTTTGTACTCTTGTGGGGCACTGTTAACTTTCGAATTTATGTATTGTTTTGAAAATGTAAAAATGCTACAAATCATTTTTGAACGCAGATAATACGTTGTTATGTCTGTAAATAGTTTTGTTTTCTCGGTTATGATCCGAAACACGCGTTATAGTCAATGCACGCCCTTGTGAGTCGTAAACTTATTTTTATCAGAATTCTGTTTTCAATGGCTACGGAAGACCTTATGAAGGTTTCTGCAGATTTATTTTTCTTGCATAGATTTGACAATATTTGGCAGCCATTTTAGATGTATCTATGAGACATTGATTTTAACGTTCTTATGTTTTGGGTATTTAAAACCAATAATTGGCAATAAAATAATTGACTTACATGAATTTTATGACGAAAAGTTCTACTTTGATGATTTTGTACCGCAGAATTTCAAGAAAAAAAGAACAAAATACATGGTAAAGGGGTTAATGCATTTCTAGATCATATATATCATTCGTAAGTTAATAACACAAGGGGAACTTTCTACAATTAATGTATGAAAAAATAATGTTAGCAAAATGCGAGATTTTCTCAGACAGGTGGTAGTTAGGTGGAGGTGATTCAGTACGGCAAAACACAGGCTTCTATTTGAATTTCTGCCAGCATGTTAGCCTTTTTACTGCCTAAGATTATGTCTGCTTCGACGTAATCTCAATGTTTTTGATCAGAAAGTTGTCTTTTCAACAGAAAGTATAATGTGTCTAAGCTGTTTGACTAAAACATTTTTAGTCAAATATTTCAAAAGTGAAAACAATAACCCATCGGTCGTTTCTTTTGTTCACCTTTCAACCACACATTTCTAAAATGTCGGCTTTCTAGCCTCGACACATGCGAATGTTTTCATTTTGATGTAACCTAAGATGGCCGCTAACGCTGCACGCTGGACATTGTTATATGTCTACCAGTCAGGGCAACGCACACTTCTTCATTTTCTGCCCCAGTTTTCTAGTTGTTGTTTTGTCAGCTTGAGAATCTTACTTGACGAGATCTCAAGGCTGTCTGTAACACTTAGGGGAATCGGTACGCATCCATCTTCTTTTGCATATGTTAGCCGCATTTTCCGCACCGTCAAATTTTCTTCCTGGTATAAAGAAAATCTTTAATGCGTATTACACTGCTGTTTCCCACGTATTGTGGTACTTGTAAATTCTATGTTTATTTTAACGAGTATTTCATATGCATATTTTGTTCTCATGTTGAAGTAAGTCTGGTTTTGGTTCCCGAATCTATTTCTTTACCTACTGATTTTTTCTCCTGTGTTATGTTGTTGAGATATACAAATTTGATTTTGACGATTACATGACAATGTCATCAGTCCTTGTTCTCTTAATTTGGAAAACATGGAAGTTTGAATGCTAGTTTATTTAAGTATATTCTTCTGCCGATCAGTGATGATGTCCTTCGTTCAGGTTTTGTTATAGAAATGGAAAACACAAATGATATATTAAAGAATTCATAATCCGTTGGTCAGCGGTTTTCATAATCTTGCAATAATGGACGACTCTACAGATCTCAATGTGTATGTCAGTTGGAGTACTTTGATCCTTCTTTACGATAAACATGACAAATATTAAAAAACAGGTTATGTTTCGTGATAAAAAACAATGGGTCAATTTGACTAGGATTTCAAAAATCGTCCGCTCAACAACATATGGTATAATCTAGTACTTTTCATGGATGGAAGCATTTTAAGTGTTTATCAAAATTGTGAATTACATGGCCCCACGGTCTCACATTTAAAGTTAACAAGTTAAAGTTAACTGCAGTATATATAGGCAAAATGATTAAGAAATTATATAAAATAATAAAAATGATTAATAATAATAATGAAACAAAACATTAAAACGTTATACATACAAGTTACCCATTAGCGTTAAAGTGATGTAGCAAGCTATTAATAAATCAAGTATTATCACCTCGCAATATGACATATTATGTAATATATGATTGATAAAGGACGATATTGAAAACAAAGAAAATTCTTCGTTTTTACTAGATTTTAATGCTGCTTTGTCATTTTCATTTTGCAATTTCATTAGCATTAAAATCAAAATTACTAGTAACTCTTCGTTTTGGTGAAACATATATTGTTAATGAATACGAAGTGTTCTATGATTAGAATGTATAAGACATGAAAAACAACGCATGCATGTTGGAGAGCTGTAAAGCATCATTAGACTATGTAATTAATATATTCAACAACGAAATCAAGGTAGATCATGAATATACACAATGTGAATGAAAATTTGATGCTGAATGTAAATACTAATTTGTTGGAAATCAGACAATCTTTATTCTTATGTCTTGGATAACTGTCTTTTATCGATTGCACAAAATGTCGCAATTTGTGTATCCGTTGTAGCACACCCACTCTTGTGTCATTAGTAAGCGGACCAGAAAACGCTTGAATATTTGCATTATCTAATCTACCAACCCAAAGAATGCATTATGAACGGAAATATTGCTAAACATTTACAAATAAGTTATTAGCCATTACAGTGAATAACTCCCAGGTTGCTGCACTACAATAACAGTGATCATACGGGGTTGTTATATCTTACTGCCGAGTTGACTAATTGGTTAGAAATATTGGATTTAATGGAAATAAACCCCCAAATCTTCGGACATTATTTAGAAATTCGCCTGAATAGCATATACTTATGTCGAATATCACTGTTTAGCCCAAATGTTGTTAAGACGTTCAGGCATTACACTTATTGTTTGTCTGAGAATTTAACCCGAGTGTTGTCAAGTCGTTATAAAAATACTATTCAGTGATTTTAGGCACCATTGAAAACCCTCCTGCACGGTTGTCGGACCTTTAACGAACTTTTGATTGACTAGTGCTGTAACAACAAGGATTGCAACCTGTTGTTGTGTTATGTCTATACAAGAGTATCACGTGACTACTGACCTGGTGAAACACTTCCCTAGCATCTTCAAACACAGTCTATACCGACTCTTTACACAGGTAGTCGTACGTAGTTTTCTGAACCACGATCACATCGTACTTGGTTTTCACATTCTTTTTCAGATAATGCAGGGTGTTCTCTTAAATATGGTCTAGACATCTCAGCGATCTCCAAAGTCACAGATTTGCCAATAAGAGTCTTTGCCTTTATCAGTAAAAGTAATCTTATCGTTCGTCGTGCTGCTGTACACGGTTCGATATCTCGGAGATCGTTAAAGAATATTGAAAAAATATTTTATAATTTTCATTTTTTATTGTTGTTTTAACCTACCGACCTGTGATAACAAATGCAGTTTTGAAACTTCTTTGTTCTTTCTTTCATGCAAATAATACCGTGCCGTACTTTACGTTATGTCGATAATTGGTGCTTAGGAAGCGTTGTTTTGGCTGCCATTAGTGCTGCTCGGTTCTAGCACTATTGGGAGGTCCTCGTCTGGAATAGCTTGGTTAATTTCCCAAAACACATCATGTGTATATCTTTGTCTTTCATGTCGGGTCAGATTTCTTCTAAATACCGATACCGCACTATGACCTGTCATCCTGTTAATATCACAATAGATCCTCGGTCCTCCTTCCGTACTGAAACCTGTCGTCGTGTAAAATCGACTACACAACCCACTGGGGCATACAGGCAAAGACACTACTACAACTGACCTAGTTACAATGTTGTCTTGAAAATGAAAGTAGAATTCGATATGCATGGTGGATAGATTTCTCCTTCATATTGTGATTCCGTAGAAAAAAAATACCGAAAATATATTCATATTTCAGTTTAATATACATTGCTAATAATAAATACTGTTTTATCGACCATTCCTTCACTATATTATATGGTGTGTTGTTCTATTTTCAGTTTATTGCCATCGGACAGACTACCAGTCAAGCAATGTCAAAGCACCTGGTGCCAATTACCGGTGTCTGTTCCCAGCCAGATCCCCGGAGTCTGTTGGATGTTATACGTACAAAAATGTGATAAACTGGACAAGATTTCATTTTAACATGTAAATATCGATATTTTCGGGAATGCATTTTATCATCAGAACAAAAGATGTTGGTTATTGTTTAGATATTGTTTTAATCCATTGTTAACGAACCTGCACGTGCATGTTTTGACTTAAAGTAGTTATTTATTGGTGTAAACCGTTATGAATATAACTTACGTACCTGCAATTGTTTTGTCTCATTTAATTTACATATATGTTATAATTTTGATTGTCGAGAATTACCTCCCTTAGACACTTAACATGTATATATCTAGAAAGACGTAGTCACTTGGTCTTCCGGTTATCATTTGTAAAATAAGAATGTGACTATTGAGAATTTGTTTTAATTAGGAGAAATAAAGCACTATTTCTTTTCAAAAGTATATTGCTATAATTAAAGCAAACATTGATTAAATATGTACTGAGTGCAAAACAGCATACACGTATACCATATGTAATATTGATTTCTGATGACATATAATCACTTCGTGAACTAGAAGTATACCGTCCTACATTCCGCATAATTGAGCAACGTAAACACAAATATCGTAAAAACCATATCCATTATAGACCTTTATGAGATGTCGTTAAATCATATTGAATTCGTGTAATTTTCTGGCTCATTTGAAGGACGCTATCTATATTTGTATGCATGCCGTCTGTATACAGCTAGTCATCTGCTGTCTATATACAGAAGTTAACGACAGAATGTAGTTTCCATGTCGAAATAGTTTCTGATCATTTACAATGATTGATACATTTATTTTTGGCTGCGATTAACCTATATTCGTGTCTGTATCGTGTGTTGGCTTTTGGAGAAATGAAATGGACTTGACAAAACGGCATTGAAACGGATGCATATACATACACTTTATACAGTTAAAACGGCATAAAAGACGAAAAAACTGTACAGAAATCTCCGAAGTGAGATTAACGGTACAATGTTAAGGACATATGTTTATCTTTGTTTATTTAATGCACTGAAATAAGTGACTCGCGTTATTAGAAGCTTGACATGATGCAGGCTTACTTTGAATAGGTTGCGGAGTACAGTTGTGTTTTGGTTCCGTTATTGCATTACGCTTTCCAGTATTTGTTGTCTATTATATTTATTATCAGTGAGAATGTAAACAACTGTTTTTAGATTCCATTTTTATATGAAACAAGAAAATGATTATTAAAAGGTACAGCAGACGCACTCACCGAATATGTATGAAGCGTTATTAACTGTCGAATACAGTGTACATATCGACATTAGTCCTGTCAAGTGTCATTATTCTATTGTTTTCACCGCTCTGTTGTGTTCTGATATAATTAGACTTTTTAGATGATGTTTTTTTTTTTTTTTTTACTTGTATGTGTTTTTCACAGTTTACCGGTTTTGACAGCTACAAAATGTGTCGGATTATTATATCTGAACACACATCGTAAGGCCAAACTATTCTTGCGTCAAGTGTCGCATGTTGACCTCAGAGATTTACTTTTGGATGAAGAATACTCCCTAGCTTCGACAGACAAAACGACTTATTGCTAAATAATTGATCTTCATATATTTAAAAACAAGCATTTTTGTGAATTGTAATTGATGTGAATTATTGTGATGTAAAAGACATTTTAACGCGAAATAGCATCATAGTTTAGGGTGCATTACGGGATTTTGACGTATAATGCCAAATTCGCGATGCCGCGCCGTGCCTCTACAAATAATGTACTAGCACTTGAGAGCTTTGTTTGACCGGCATCTGACAATGTTTCTTTGTGGGACATTTCCTCGTGTCACGTTGATAATGGGAACTTACGGATCCAGTTGCTATATAGTATATATATATATTATCTCGTGATCCCCGTTATGTAAGACATACACCTAAAACTGTTATGGCGATAGTTCAATAAATCATAAATCATTAAAATCTTATTAACATATTTTTCATAATGATAATAATAAGAAATAAGAAAACGTATCTGATATCGCAATGTTTACCTATTAACCATTACTATGCCTGTATTTGCAATGATTTAATGTGTGTTCTTACACAATCTGTTTTTCATATCGGATCACTTAGTGAGATACATTTTATTCTACAATGTTATTGGAGTTGCGGGGTGCATTGTCACCAGGTCATCTGGTTGCTCGCCCATCCACCAGTCTGCAGCTTTGTCCACCTATAGAGACGAGTGAACTATCCTACAGAAATATGATATGATGTGTAATTCTGTATGATTAGTCCAGGGAATTTGTCAATTGTGTCCAAGGGCAATATTCAACCCTGTTAATACTGAATCCAAATCATGTTTTTTATGCATATTCCTAAGTATGCTTTTAGGATATGTTTATGTATTAAAATATATTAATGGCATTAATTGCTTGGTGCGGTATTTATGTATCAATCGTTATCTCATCAGAATCTACATCAAAGGCGTTTTATCTTTTTAGATATTTCATTAGAATAACTGTAAAATAAATTCCCACTTCGCACGGTAATTCACATAGTTGTCTTCTTTACCAATCATTCAAATGCAAGGGTTGCTTATCACATTTTTTGATGATATTATTTGTGTACCAGTATTGTATTGTCTCTTTTATGTTTTAATAGCGTTGTGCTTAAATACCGTCAAATGTAATTTTCGTAAATAATGTGGTGATATGCTTATAAACATGTATTGTCGTATTTAGTGCAAACACTTGATTTATTGGTATTTCATTAATCATAAATTTTGGATGCTTTAGAAATTTAGCATGTGGTGCTACTGCTTGCTCGCCTTCAACCATGTATTGTAGTTGGACAGTATGATGAATTTTTGAGTAGCGGTAGACAATGGGTATAGTGGAATCGTTTTGCTCTACATTTACAGTGGTGTAAGCTTGCTGCCAATTAATGGATGCATTCGCCACGCCTACATACGCACTAGCTTGAAAGCTACATCAAGTGAATTTATATGAAATTGAATGAAACACAGTAAGATCTTGTTGCATGGGTTTGTGTTCATTATAGGCACATTCTGTTACTATCCAATAAAGTTCGTTACTTTTACCACTTGTGCAATTAATGTAATTTTACACATCCTGTTAAAATAATGGATAAAACTGTCTTAATCAAAAGCTCTTTGTAATCAAAGAATTGGAAACACACTACGCCTCCTGCAGATTATAAGTCGGCGACAGATATGGATTTGAGAGATAAGATTTGGGATACAAAACTATAATATTTGTTTATACAAAATTGGCAACTTGGTGTACAATGGAAATTATCCGCATTTCTAATGCTAATCGTCATGTAAAGTATTAGCATAGCTTTCATCTTGGATTTGCATTAGATAAATTAACATACCCTAATTCAAATCCTGCTTTACGAAATGTTAGAATTTACTCACGACTTCTTCAAAATTCTAAAAGGAAACTTGAATTAAAAATGCATCGACGATTTCAAAGAAAGATTATAAATGTACATATGAAAAAATTGAATTAAATATTTTTTTTAACAACTACATAATGTGTCGTACTCTGGCATTAATTTACGGACAAGAATTTTTTTTCAAAATCTGATAAGTTACAAAATTAATTACATCCATGCAAAAGCTATATGATCTAGACTGGATTGAACGTTCCTTTTTAAACCTTTCAACATGTCTTGGCGATATTATCCATTCCATTTGATTTTGTCTAAGAACACCCATGATGAAAAATCAAAGAGTTTTAGATAGTCTAAATTTTAAGGATCATGTAATCTTATTTTATGAAATAGTTGTGTAAGTACCAAAGCATTCAGTTAAAGTATATAACTTAGTAGAACCTAGGCCTTGTAGAATGAGCAGAACAGATTTGTAGCACGCTCTACTATTTTTGAAAGATTAAGATTGAACGATTAAAATAAGCCAAAAATCAAAACAATGTGTTCTTGGTATTCCAACATTTCGATCAATTCTGATAAGTCCATTTTACTGTTAACATTACCACAATGCAGGCCCGCTAGACTTAACTTTGTTGTGGTATTTGTAAAACTTCATAATTCCAATTTGTGTAGTTACATGTGTAATACTGAAGGTCAAACAGAGCAGTATGTGTATCTCAATATGTATCAAACTATGTCATAGTATATGTGACCGAAATATTTACTCTAAGAGTACACCTTGGTCGTGATGATTGGCATTAGTACTATGTTGTATTAACTCTATGTCGCGTCCGATTAATGTCATGATGTAAAAAAAATAAGAAGTAGGGGATGGACAAGTGTCGAAAAAATGATTATGGAAGTTTTTGTGTGTGAAATAGCTCATCAGATGTAAATAGGAACATTCTACATAATTGATATATCGCATTGCTCAAGCAAAGAAACCAAGAATGTATTTTCGTTTTCTCTTTTATAAATACAACACTGCCATTCGCAGAAATCCTCGGATGTATTCGTTGCAAACCAGTAGCTGCTTTAATCATATGCAAATTACGACATCTTAGTAGAAAACAAGGACATGATTAATACTACATCTAAACTTTGGTATCTCTTAATTAAATCATATTCCGTTTTAGGCTAGGTAAGAAATAAGTGAATGCCAAAGTATTGAATCTCCTGATTACGTCTGATTTGTACGGTTTCAACTGCAATTATAGATACAGTGATTTTAGATAATTTCATATAAGATAAACATACATAGAAATATACAGATTTTGATTTTTCTTCAGTCGCCACCCAGGTTTAAATACTTTAGGCCATTGGAAACACTTGATAGTCTTAGAAGGACGAAACAATAGGAATATATGAATATTTAATTGTATTGGAATGTTATTCACTTATGTATCTTTCGTATAATCTTAGGTATTAGTTTGTCAGATTGTTATGTTTGGATTAATTTCCCGTGGGTTCAATTTTGAAACGTCATTATTTTCCATTTCTCTTGATATTATGTATAAGTATCTATGCGTAGATAGTTATCGCAGAGTAGCATCTTGGTTAGTGAAAATTTGTATGTAATTTTCCAGGCGGTTTCAAAACATTTGTTCGATAATGGTACGCTGTTATTACAAAAATGTTTACGTGTTTACGAGGTACAAGTGAACGCGTTCATTTATCATATCGTTACAAATAACAATGATTAAATACAACACGTGTTTACGTTCGTATGGAGATTTTATATACAATCCGTATGAAAGAATACTGGAAGGCTATTGTAGAAATAATATGATAGTTAAATTATATTATCTAATAACAATGTCAATTATACACTAACCTACATTTGTGTACTGTTTGTTCCGCGGTCACAATTGAATAAAAGATAAAAAGTTTCAGTTGTAAGAAAAGTTTAAATACGGGAAATCCCAGAAACGATTACAACGACATGGGTACTTTTCATTATTTGATATGTGATTCACTTTATCTATTTCCTCACGGTTGTTTGGTAATTTTCATTTTTTTTTTTTTCTTTCAAAGCGTAGATACTCATAGAAAAGTGTCCTGTTGTTTTCTTATGCATACTCTTTCATTTACTTCACTTATCTCTCATAAGAGCCTGTGAAATTAATTTTTTACAAACAAAAAAACAAAAGCAAAAAAAGAATACCAGGACACAGACATTGGCTCTAGATCAATATGATTCATTGGAACAAACTACAAAATTGAAAAGTGTCATCAGACTTTGACAGAAGCTGCAATTATCTACCCTGCAAAACAGTGAACTTCGCATGAAATAAATATGTAAAGACATCCTGTATTTTGTTTTACAAATCAATTAAGTGGAATATCAAATAAACACAAGATCTCTAATTTCATTTCATTAAATATGTTAAAATACATATAACCAGAAACGCTAGTCCGTAAAAATATATTTCTTTACCATCGGTAAGTCGTAAGTTTTAATATTTTCTTGAAAATAATATTCACATTATCCATTTAAGCGTTAAACGAAATAAACAAATAATATAAGTATATATGTCAATAAATGTAATATATTGTAATGTATTCCTAAAAGATAGGTAACAGCATGGCCATGCAGTTATCCCAAATTAAGGAAAAGTTCTATTTACTCGATATATACGTCTACATCGTACTCGTTGTTATTACGACATGCATTGCTTATGAAAACTAACATTTCAACATAAAAGTAATCCTAATGATCTCAACGAATATCAATTCAGTTATAAATAGATAGCATTTAGCAAGTGCAACATTAAATTTTGTTGCGTTTGGATGAATTGGAACTTTTATCAACTATGTAGGCCTAACTTGGTTATGATACTATTTGCTTCAATTCTGAAAACGTATATCCAAAGGAAAATAAATTTCACATGGCATCTAACAAATATATTAGTGAATCTGTAAAGGATACAAGAAAACCTTGCGAACTCATAAATGTCCCCATCCATCCACTGGATATGTAGTTATAAAAGTTCTGAAATGAGCTCGGGCTCCTCCTTCATTAACCCACATTTTTGTGCCAGCAATCTACATCAGTCATGTTACCGCTGTAAGGTCAACACTAAGCTGGATGACGACTTTCAAATCCTGCCTGTACTCATTGTTTCAATTTTCATGAAATATAAATTGGCTATGGTATACCTTATTATAGGTAATTACCAAAACATGAAAAGATCTAGACCCATTCTCCAAGAGAATGTTTGTGAGAGCAGATTGATTGGATAGAGTTTTTTCTGCTTATTTCGCCCAGCAGGTGTTATTATACGGGGTTGGGATTGATTATACAAAGTTTACGGTATAAGATTCATACCTGATCTCCTTTGTCCCTCTTTCAATTGGCCACCTACTAAGCTGTTTCTTACATGGCTAGCCACATAACGCTTATCATCTGGAAACCTACTTTATTACTAATTAAAATCTAGATTAGTTTACATATAGAAACATAAAGAATAAATTCGGGACACGTGATGCAATGACATACATTAAATCTTATTTTGTGATATTAATTGGAAGCGCCGACACAAAGACAACATCACGATTATTTTTAAGGTTTTCTGGAACGGCATTGCTCTACTAACGATGGCAGAATTGGAATATACCATAAATAAATCAAACAAGGGCATGTGCAACTAGATTAGTCAGTCAACCAATATTCATCATTATAAAGACATTCGTTTTTGTCATTCAATGCGATTCACTGCAGAAAACTTTTATTAAAAAGATCTGTAATAACTCTGTTTTTCTGTAAGAAATTCTAAAATAGTCAGATGTCGTTTACCCTACCTGGTGAAACATGCATATTCCTTTATTTGATTAACACATGAAATGATTTTTCAGTATTAAAAAAAAATATGACATTTCTATAATTTTTAAAGTTTGTGCATTTCTCTTTCTACATGTCAACTTTTACGTTGGCCTCATACATCTCTGTTTCAAAACCTTTAGCATCACAGATTCCAAGAAGAAGGAAGTAATTGTATGATGCAGGTTATCTTTTTTGGTTCCATTTTATATATATTGCATTTAAAACTGAACTTCATGCACATATATTTTGTTGTAACCTTTTCTTGTTAACATGGATTATACTGATTGTCCAATATGCTACTAAACAAATACGCTAACTTGTAACCTTTCTTGATTATCCTACTCTGTATCTCGATTTAACTCCTAATACAAACATGTTGTTATATTCATAGTAAAAACTTACAGTAATTGATTTAGCTGCTTGGAAATTGGCATTACAGTTTGTATTTAGTATGATTTATATCAAATGAGGTCAGTTAACATGGAATAAACAATAAAAAAAACATCCGTATTGGTCAATTAGGTAGTTTATTACAAAACGATGTGAGTTGTCTTTCTGTAAACACAATTGTGCCATCAAGTAGGGACATTGGAAGACGTAACAGCCAAACAAATGCAGCGGACAAGGTCACATGAAAAATAGGTTTACACCAATTTAAGAAAATGTGTTTCCAATAATTTTTCAGCCAACATTCAAATACGGTTTATATTCAAGTGTTTGATAAACTGGAAAAAAAAATTTAATAGAAATAATTTATATAAATTTCACAATCATA